AGAGTCATTTACTTCAATGATCTGCGGATTTCTACAACTGGAAGAGCAACCTATTATTCGCTGACCCTCATTTACCGCCCTAGTGTGTCTAACTGTACATTCCTAGACAGATTGCAGACTATAACTGCCTACTATACCAGTTGCATTTTCAGATTAATACAATTTTTGTCCTAATTCACTTATACCTCCTAACGATGGAGCAAATAACGCCATAAAAATTTATCATTTTACTTTGGTGACTACTGAAAAACACTTCAGTAACCTATTAAGTTAAGCCTGCTCATTTGGTGTTATAAAAACCCCATGAGGCGAGACTGGAACTATAGTCCGGTCCGGATGAAACGGCGCGAGAAATGTTATTTAAATGCTCTTCTATTCGTCACATTGCGGGTTAAATCGCTAATTGTGGCGGATGTCTGTTAAAATATGATTCCGTTGGCTGTACGGAAATAGGTCGCCCTCACTTTTCGCAACTTGGTAGAGTCGTCATGTGAACCTAGTTGGATGCAGTTTATAGGACAGCCTCTGCTATGGTAGCTCTGATCATTTTTAGTGATGGAACGTGGATTCGACAGACTTGAAGACGTTTCGCCTGCATCCTTGGTGAATCTGGCCATTGTTGGCGCAAAGCTACAATTGTGGCTAAATGGACATGTGGAGTCCATCCTTTGACCACATTTCTTCCCAACTGTTGTGAGTATTCCTCTGACCTAAAATATCCTCTTATTTATCGCTTCATTCACAGATATTATAATTTGCTTAGGTTTTCCCGTTGCGTAAGTGTGTCTTTTTGAGCAGATTCAATGACGTGGATGTATCGTAAGAGAATAAGAAACAAAATAACTGACTAATCTGGAAAAGGTTGATCAAGGGATGCACTTCATTTGCCTTTTTGACGAGTTGTAGCAGACACCCTGACGATACCGACTATGCAGCGAATCTACAAAGTCCACTTTTCAACGGTAGGAATTAGCAAAACCAATAAGGTAGAGGACTTTGGGCAAGGTTCATCCAACTAACTCCCCCTGCAAAGACGAGATCAAGTGGGAAAAATCGTCAGGAAGTTTGGTCTCCTTTAAAATCGAGTATACATTTTTATGCTTTATTGGTTTGTAAAAAGCATTGGTATTAAATATAAATATATAGACAGATGGGAAAAGGTTAAGCAACAAAGGCCTCCGAATATTTCGTTTTGAGTCATGCCAATAAAGAAAGATTTCCGGATCCTGTCAAAAAGTGGAAATAGTGTGAAGTGAAGTTAGTGCCTGGGATTACATAATTTCGAGATCTCAGAGTGCGAAAGACAATAGTTGAGGCTGCTGACGGCATAAGAGATTGGAATTGGCACAATTCTACAGTATCTGATATCACCGGCTTTGAAGGATGTCACATTTCTACACTGCCGTAGGTGTTGGGAAGCATGACCAAGACAAATAGATATACAAATAGTTATAAATGTAAAGAAGCTCAAGTGCAAAAATAGATATGTTTAGGGCTTGTCTGAAGTCAACGAGGACACAGTCGAAAGGTGGATAATAGGTAGACTTAGATGGGGCGCGAGAGAGCTGTATCATCTGAAATTGCGATTCTGCTGACAACTAATGCGCACAGCCTTGGGTAATCGGGGAATCCTGGTATTCCCGAATTCAGATTCACAGTCAAGTTGATAAAGTTGCGGATAAAGGGGCGAATTATCCTTTTAAAGGCGCTTTTCTGGGTTCACGGTCCACACAGTCTGGTCGTGTGGGCAGAATGTGAGATATCAGACATGGCACAAGCCGGACGAACTGACAAAAGGGAGACACGATCACGACGAGGAGACGTTTGTCTCTCCTCAAAACGTGCAATGATACAATTTGTGCAGAAGAGCACTTATAAATGACCTGACGATAGACAATAATGAAGCTGAATTGATCAATTGAACTTTGGTAGAGACGAGCTAAACTTTGGCCAGTCCAAGTGTCGCGATGTCGCGTCGACGCTCCAAATTGACGACCATTCCAGTGGTCGTGAGCAACACATAAACCTGCCCGCTGGCCAGAGTGACGAAGACTTGCAGTCCGTCGACACAGCGCCACGAGTCGGCCGGACCACTGGCGCCGGAGGCCAAAGCCAAATCGAGCACCGGACTCGGCAGGTAGACGAGACGAAGTCGAGTCAAGCAGACGGCGTCGAGGAGGAGAAGATGACCCATGTTGGTGCCGGCCAGAAGGAGACGCTGAGTTGTGACAGTCTCCAGGCGGCCGGGACCGAGAAACCGAGACTCCTTGGCCTCGGTCGGCATGTGGACGGGAAGACACGAGGCCGAGGTGAGCAGCAGCCTGGAGACGAGAATGGGCCGTCTGTACCGTCGCCAGTCGGAGTCAGTCGCCTCGAGCAGAGCCGAACTGGCCACCTCATCGGCGTTAACCGTGAACAGACTGATCCACGCAGCACCATAGCAACGGGCGGAGTGTGGATGAGAAGAGGATGCCACAGCAAAACGATCGATTCGCCACCATTGAACGTAGACATCACCGGTCTCTGGGGCAACCAAAAGATGATGCACAACACCGGTACATTTGGCCTGATCGGATAGGGCCAGTTGGACCGAGCCGAACGGTTGTGATGAGGAATTCGGCCAAAACCGACTGGGTGACGACAACCGATCGAGCCAAATGACTCGACACCAATGACCACGTCGAACAGCGTAGAGATGCACAGCTTGACAACCGAAAGGTAGCAACATCTCTTGACCTGCGTCGAGGCTGAATGTGGAATGGGACGAAGGCGCCGGCGCCGGCGCCGTGGCAACAATGGCCAAATCGAGTGGCATCGATAGAGCCACCGCGGTGACGGGATCACCTCTGGCATGGGCGTAGAAGAGACGAACCAGACGCGCCATGTGTCTGGGACGACCTCGAGGCGCCAACTGGTTGTAGCCCACGTCCGGGTAGGTGGTGGAGAGAAGCAGCGGAGGTGCTACCACTGCCGCAAGCCTGTCGGTCCCAATTCCGTCCGGAGGACATTTCAATTGTTGCG